AGCCTAGGGTTGATTAGCTCTGGTAACTAGTTACTATCAGTCTCTGTTAACTAGTAACTATATGCCTCTGGTAACTAGTTACTATCAGTCTCTGTTAACTAGTAACTACATGCCTCTGGTAACTAGTTACTATCAGTCTCTGTTAACAAGTAATTATATGCCTCTGGTAACTAGTTACTATCAGTCTCTGTTAACTAGTAACTACATGCCTCTGGTAACTAGTTACTATCAGTCTCTGTTAACTAGTTACTATCGGCCTGTGGTAACTAGTAGACTCGTTAGCCTGGTTTCTGTTCCGTTTCCAGTGGTTGTTTGGTAATGTGGTGAAAGTGGGAAGCAGATGGATCAGAATGAGCAGAGAGAGCAGAGGAGGAAGGGGAGCTGCTGAACATTAGGGTGATGGCATGGAGGCCTTCTGACAGGAGAACCAGGAGAAAGGAAGCAGAACAGCAGAGCTGAAGGAGCTGCTTTCTGAAACCAAGCATGGATCTACCTCCAGGTCTGCTCTCTGCTCTCATTCTGTTACAAAATGCATCCAAGAAAATGTTGGAGCTTCTGAGGATCGACCAGTTTCCTTTTTAGACAAACTGGGTAATAATAAAACTGTAGATGATAAGAACAATGATCAAAGCTCCTCCATCAGACCTCGGTGCTTCATGATGATCGCTTCGGGTTCCTGCTGACAGCGAACGGCTCGGTTCTACCAGGAAGCTGCAGAGCTCCTGGTTCCTTTGTTTGCTGAAATTAAATGTTTGAGGGAAAAGGTTGCGATGTGAATTAGTCTTTTCCTTAAAGTTCTGTTCCTGGGAAACATCAATATCCCACAACTATATTTGAATTTAAAGCCTAAAAACATCAATGTACGTCCTTCATGGAGGTTAGCGTAGCTAACGGCGCCCAGAGTGTAGCGATCCTTCCTCTAACTGCCATCTTTCTTTCCCTGGTTCCTTGCAGAAGGACTGTGGGAGACTCCGTGTGATTCACCTGCAGCAGAGCAGGGGGTACGCCTCAGGAGGAAGCAGGTATGATGGAAACCGTCGCTTTCCTCTTCAGCCTCCTCTCATGATGCTTTTTCGTACCAAGATGGCTTCCTGTCTCTGCTCCCCACAGCAGCGGCGCCTCCAGAGTGGTCTTCACTGGCTTGTTAACGGTGAGCGGCGGCATCGGGGGCACGGTTCTCTACGCCAATTGGGATCCCAAGTTTCGAGCAGCGGTGGAGAAGAACGTCCCGTACTCAGACTGGCTGCTGGGCCTGGCTCTGGGACCGGCTCCTCGGGATTCAGGACTCCCCGTCAGGAAACGGGTCAGTTTGCTTCAGCCTGCACTTCATGTCTCCTCCTGGTTCTAAACACACAACCCAGGCTCCCCAGGTTGATGGAGCCGGTTGGGTTCCAGGAACCGAGCATAACTCAGAGCTTCAGTTGGGTTCATGGTTCTAGTGCAGGTAATCTGGACTCTTTAAACAAAGCTGCGTTTTATTTAAAAAAGAAAGCATAGCTGCCCACCGTTCCAGTAATGAAGGAGTTAATGAGCACGTGAAATTCATCAAACAATCAACATTTTATTTGAATTGTTTCAGAGGAAAGGATCAAACTGTTGTTGCCTCTAGTGAATGAAGTGTTTTCTGGTCTTTATATAAAGTCCGACGTGTTTTCAGCCTTATTGTTTGTCTTAAACACTAACCCATTATTACCTCTGAGTCTGAGTGGCGGTTTTTGTTAGCCTGATAAACAAGACTAAATGTGAGATTAAATGTTATTTAGTCTGGCCCACGATGAATCAGACATCGGAAGATTGTTGATGAAAACAACCATGTCTGCGCCTATTGGCCAACGCTCTGACCAATGAGCGCCACTGACTGACTGTGACGTAGGAAGCGTGACAGGAAGCTGGTGGGGGAGTGTAAACAAACAGCCTGTTGGTAAAACGGCGAATACGTCCTTCTTAAAAATGAACGAGCGTAGAGCCTCTTCCTGCTCACGTTTCAACGAAAACCCAAAGTCTAATCCTTCCAGAACTGATTCCAAAGCTGAGTCAAACCAGAACTGTTCAATACTTGTCGCCATCTTCCTTGCTGTGCTTTCTCCAGCGTCGTGCAGGTTTCCTGTCCCGCCCTCAAAACCCGCCCACTTTGCATCCAGAAATACAAAACCCATCTCTGCGTTGTGATTGGCCCTCCAGTTCTAGGGCCTGGGGCATTGATGGAGGCTAGACCACTCGCAGGAAAAAATGATTTTGGCCGCTGGTGGGTGGGGCTAGCTTACTAGGCTAGGTTTTTGTTCCTTTATAACCTTGATAACAATCATGGATCCAACTGGCTAACCGGAGTTTTTAGGATGTTTAATCCCTCTGATGATACCTGCTTCTGTCTCTGAACTATAACAGCTGCTAAATTCACACAGAAAACTTTCTGAAAAGAATTTCAGAAAGTTTCTGCAGCCTGATTGGTCGGTCTTTCAGTAGTTTAAACATGGACCTGATCAACAGCAGAGCTTCACCTTTGACCCCGATCACCTTGTTTTAGCTTGGATCCGTTAGCTTGCTCTGTTCCATGGTCGTTTTAATTGGTCACGCAGAACAAGTCCAAATAAAAGCTCTGTAACTGCGTGTGAATGTTTGTCGTTCAGATGGAGTCCATCCAGCCGCCGTCCATGATGGAAAAGCAGAAGAAGACGTCCAAAGTCAAGTCAGGAAAGGAGACGGCGGAGCCTCCTGCCCCAGAGTCCAGTCAAGCAGCGCCTTCACCCAGCATGCAGGGTAAGATGGCAGCACGTCTCCTCACACCCTGAACTCAGGCTAATTTAGTGGCTCGGGAAGCCGAAACAACCCTGAAGCGTCTAAATCTCTTAGCTGCTGCTTTGGAGCCCGTTCACCGTGTGACTCCACCCACAGGAAGGAGAGAAGTTTAGGAAATCAGTTATGCTCCTAACTAACCCTCCCTGGGCGCCGCACAATGGCAGCCTACTNGGGTGGGGCTAGCTTACTAGGCTAGGTTTTTGTTCCTTTATAACCTTGATAACAATCATGGATCCAACTGGCTAACCGGAGTTTTTAGGATGTTTAATCCCTCTGATGATACCTGCTTCTGTCTCTGAACTATAACAGCTGCTAAATTCACACAGAAAACTTTCTGAAAAGAATTTCAGAAAGTTTCTGCAGCCTGATTGGTCGGTCTTTCAGTAGTTTAAACATGGACCTGATCAACAGCAGAGCTTCACCTTTGACCCCGATCACCTTGTTTTAGCTTGGATCCGTTAGCTTGCTCTGTTCCATGGTCGTTTTAATTGGTCACGCAGAACAAGTCCAAATAAAAGCTCTGTAACTGCGTGTGAATGTTTGTCGTTCAGATGGAGTCCATCCAGCCGCCGTCCATGATGGAAAAGCAGAAGAAGACGTCCAAAGTCAAGTCAGGAAAGGAGACGGCGGAGCCTCCTGCCCCAGAGTCCAGTCAAGCAGCGCCTTCACCCAGCATGCAGGGTAAGATGGCAGCACGTCTCCTCACACCCTGAACTCAGGCTAATTTAGTGGCTCGGGAAGCCGAAACAACCCTGAAGCGTCTAAATCTCTTAGCTGCTGCTTTGGAGCCCGTTCACCGTGTGACTCCACCCACAGGAAGGAGAGAAGTTTAGGAAATCAGTTATGCTCCTAACTAACCCTCCCTGGGCGCCGCACAATGGCAGCCTACTAATCCCCAAGGGGAGGGGTTAAATGCAGAGTGAATATCTCCAGCATTGGATTAACATTTATTTATATTGACAAATGACCTCTTCTGCCACACAGTGAAGAACATTTCTCTAGAGAATGACATCATCTATGCGGCCTTTTAAGGAAAAACAGTTGGCACCGTCTGATTGGAGGAGTTGATCTGAGTAAATTTCCACCACAGAAGAATGCTGACCCGCACACCGGCTAACGTTGGCCCCGGCCGCCGCTGACGGGCTCACGTTGGCCCCGGCCGCCGCTGACGGGCTCACGTTGGCCCCGGCCGCCGCTGACGGGCTCACGTTGGCCCGTCACCGGCCGCGGTTAGCCTCGGAGCTGAGTTCTAGCTTCAAATGATCTTAAAACTTACTTTTATTGAACAACAACAGAAAATAGAACTTTTAACTTAATGCTCTGAGCTCTGTGAGCGCTAACCTGGAAGCTGCTGCTGCTGCAGTGCATGCTGGGACAGCTGTCAGTGCACATAGTGAGAAATGACCTTAGATTTGGGTAAAAACGTTACTTAGTGCTGCTTTAATCGTAGGAAGCTAAAGTAAAACTCTATGATAGAAATAAGAACATAGATTAGGCTCAGATAGCTGAAGTAACCAAATGTCAGCAGGGTTTTGTGGGTATCAGGCTGTCAAAGGTTCCTGCAGCTGCTCTCCTGCTAAACGCTCCTCCTGTTTCTCTTCCTAAGCAGAAGCTTCAGCTGAAGCTACTCAGATCATCTCGGCCATCAGTGAGGTCCAATCGGTTCCTGCTCCGTGTGACTCACAGGCTAAAGGTAACTGATCCTCACCTTGAAAATGATCTTATGAAAAGATCCAATACGACCAACGTTTCAAACACAGTTAGAACTACAACCAGCTGGCAGAGGGTGCAGTGAAGCTGGCAGAGGCTGCAGTGAAGCTGGCAGAGGGTGCAGTGAAGCTGGCAGAGGGTGCAGTGAAGCTGGCAGAGGG